GCAAGCAGGTTTTTCTTGTGTTTCTTGTGAATTTGGTCTTAAATTTTTATTTCAAGTCTTAAAAAGTCTTGAATTTAACTTGCCTTATGCTGTAGGAACCCTGTTTTTTACAGCTTTATAGATTTTTCTCTCTATAGGAAAGATAACATACAAGTCGCTTATATTTGGACATGTGAACGACCGTGCAAAGCACTTTTTGTTCTGGTTAAATGGTTGGGAAAGATTGTGCTTCAGTAGAACAAGCAGCGTCCTGATGATCCCGTGCTTCTTTTTCTGCTGTTCTCTAACCTTGCGTCGACGAAGTGTCAGGATATTGGTTATTTTTGTCATTATAGTTTGAGTTTATTATTAGCTTTGCATTTAGAGAGCCAACAGATAAAAAGACTAGCAGCTGTAAGTGAGGAAGTAGAGACAGTTTATTTCTGGCAGTCCTGAAACAAAATAATCCACAATAACAGATGTTTATGTGGATTATCTTGTAGGAGCGCAATAAATGCTGTTATTTCTGATTTTTCTTATCAGTCCTCCGGATTCGTCATCTTGATCTTTTCTTTGTTTAAGTCTTAATGTTTTCCTTTCTAACAGAGGAACCTGCTGGAGGAGGACTCTGATGAGGAGGAAGACTTTTTCCTGTGAGTCTATTTCCCAAGTTAAAGAGTCTGACAGGGCAGCTGTTTTATAGAAGCGCTATTCAGCGTCTGTTTTGTTTCTCATAATCATAGCAAACCTGAGAAGCTTTGAGAATCTCAGGAAGGCTTTGAGCTGCAATGCTAAAAAGGCAAATATATAAAAAAAAAAGACTAAAACAAACTATAAGGAACAAAGTGAGTCAATGAATGAGATGATGCTGTACATAAATATCAACAGCCAGGGGAATAAAGCCTCTAAAGAATACGATATATGTGATGTTTTTAATAAATTCAGTAAGGCATTCAATTATTTTTAATTCTCTAACACTTTATGACTGTGACACAACTCAAACCTTAACTGGAACAACATTTGCTTCCCCAGGAGAGGTCCCACAGGCCCCCGATTTGGACCTCAGAATGACAGAGTGAAGCAGTAAGTAGCGGCACACCCCTCACTGCAGCGCCGATCCGCAGGTCAGAGTAGAACTTCCACACTTTTTAACGCTCGTTATGTAACCGCGGCTCGACATGTTTACCCCAAATGTTAGGACATTGTGTAAGAGAGGCTATCGTGCAGACTGTGCCTCCATCTCAACCAGCGCTCACAGACAGCCAGAGAACAGAGGAGGTCATTGTTTAGAGCGTCTGGCACGCAGAGCTGTTTCTTCATACCTTGCAGTTTGTCACTGTCGTGCCCACGTGAAATGAGACGCCGTCATTAGCGAGTCCAGGAATGTCGTGTGCAGAAGTTCAGGCTTTTCATGTGTCCTCCTGTCTGAACCTGGACCGTTAAATTCCTCAAGTGTTTGCCACGGCGCCTGTTTTCCTTCGTTCCCCGATTACTGGATGCATTTGTTATTTTTTTTTTCTGTATCCACCTTTGCTTGGAATCACATGGGGAAAAAAAAAAATCTGGTTTATTTTATTTTTTTTTCCTATTTTGAATTGAAACCCTTGTAAAAATTAGCTTGATTAAAAGCAGAACTCACAAATATTTAAGGGTTTTTTTTCACAGGAAATCAGGCAAAGTATTACAATTGTTAGCAAACAAAGATTTATAAAAAATAATAATAATAATAAAAAAAATCGCACTATTACCAAGAATCCAAAGTTTCATTCAATAACATTTCAGCATAAATGATAAATAACCCAAAAACCTTCATAACCAATTTATAAGTAAACTCAAAGTCTCAATTTATATCCGCAAAAAACAACCAAAAACATCCCTAATAACTGAAAGTCCAAAACTGTCCGTTCTTTTTATTTTAAATAATAATGTCCAAACAGGAGTTCCATATGCTCCAAATCCAAAGTAAAATCCTGGAAGCGTTTAAGTCCAAAGTCCTTTCCAAAAAGAAAAATCCAAACGACAAACCCCCCCCAAAAAAGATTAGAAAAAGAGTGGTACCACCAAAAATCCCCAATAAGAAAAATAAGGTCCAGATCTCACCGGAGCGTCTCTCTTTCCTCTGGGTGGTGTCCCCTTGCACCGGGCGGCGTCCCTCTGGGTACAAACTCCGATTAGTTTTCTACATGATCTGCGGTGATCCAACTCTGACTGTGTTTTATCTTTCTTCATTATTTTTTTTACTTGTTTTTAAAGGACAACCAGACAAAAACTCCCGCTGCACAGACCTGTCAGTGCGCGTCTTCCTCACCTGTCGAGCCGCGCCGACGCACACGCCCATTTTATTAAGAAATTTCCCAACACCAAAATAACCCAGTATATTAAATCCCATCATCATCTTTTAACCAGTGGAGATTTGAAAGAATATTACCAATGACAAAACTGTTCTACAAGACAGTTTGTTATCGCTACTCTTTATTGTACTTTATACAAAAAGAGAAAAATAACATAGTGGTTATGTTACACCCTCATACCTATAAAAACATCTTTAGACAAAAGCAAAACCAGAGGAGGTCTGCCAAAAACTGACCATAAATCTTTAAAATATGATACATTTTTGTCATCAGTGTACAGTCCCAGGTGGACGAGGTGATCGACGTGATGCAGGAGAACATCTCCAAGGTGATAGAGAGGGGTGAACGTCTGGAAGACCTGCAGGACAAGTCCGGTGAGCTAACATGTGTTTCTTTTTTGGTTTCCATTTTTTGAACTCCACACAGAGCGCATAACATTTACTTTGCAATTATAGCTCTCAGGCCCTGATAGCCCTCAGCATTATCGTCTGCTAATCGGACCGCCACTTTTAGCAATGTGCTTCCAGTTTAAAAGGAAAACACTTCATAATGAGGCGTATTCTCTGGCTAAAATCCTTCAAATAGCAGGAAGTGAAAGGTTGGACGTTACAGCTACTGCTAGAGATACTTTATCGGCCCGTTTAGGTTCACTTCATGGTTTGAATCCTGACCTTGACCTCTATGTGTAGACAAATTGTTAATAGAATGCATCAGAGATGTTGATCTATAACCAGAGGTGTTCAGTAACAAAGTAAAAATACTTAGTATTTTTAACTTTTTATTTTTTTTTACTTAAGTAGAAATGTTGGCTACCTATCCTTTACTGGAGTAATTGTTTTCTAGAAATTCTTTAACTTCTTCTCCTTACATTTTTTTGCAATTATCTCTACTTTCTACTCCTTACATTTTAAAAATAGATTAGTTAGTTTTGTTTAATTATGGCTCAATCATTCGTCCTGTTGGTATTTTTTTTTAGAAAATACGGTGTTACAAAAAATTCAGCGTTTAAAATTTTGTGCACAAAAAAAGGTGGATTCCAATAAGACTTCAAATAAAAACGTTCCTTTAACAGGATGGTGCAGAAAAGCATCTTACTTTAACATTTTTTCCTGCATTACTTTCACTTTGTCCTTTAAGCAGTTTTTAAAAATGGTACTTTTACACCTTTACTGGAATAAAAAGCTTAAGTCGATACTCTAAACCAGGGGTCACCAACGCGGTGCCCTCAAGGACCACATGAGGGGCCCTCAGAGTCTTCTAAATAAAGAACAACCCACCAGTTGGCTAAGTTTGAAATTTTATTTATTCTGTTGCTCTTCTTTTTAATCATGTATAGAGATTTCAAAATGACAATGTCTAAATAAACTTAGAAATGAACAGAAACAATAAAAATATGTTGATAATGAACAAAGTTTAGGCTAACGCTAACCCTTGCAGCTCATGGGTCAGTAATGGTCGCCCTTCCTACGTCTCGGTACCCTTGAAGTGGCCCTCAGCCTTAAAAAGGTTGGTGACCCCTGCTCTAAACAGTAGGATTTATACTTCTACTTGAGTAATAAACATTATTACTTTTGACACCCCTGCATATAAGTGGTGTCAGATTGGTGAGTTCTAAAATGGATTAATCGACTCTCAAACTGTATGCTACACAGACATCAACATTAATACTGACACTGCTGTCATTTTAAGCTTTGGATCTTATTGTTTTTAAGGCTATTTAAACAGAATGAGCGAGTTCTCTATTTGCATTGAGTCTAAATTGCTAGAAGAGGTGAACAAATGGAACATCTTTAATGATAAACATATTAAAAACTGAGTTTTAGCCCCTTAATGTGGCCTGCAGTGGTTCAGCTGTGAGGTCAACTTAAATTGACCAAAATAATGATATTTTTGTTGAGCTTCTAGCCGGCGTCATAAAGGGAAAGTCCACCCCAGAAAAAACTCCTTGTTTTTTATGAGTGAGAGCAGAACGTTTCTTTAGGAGGGAATTTAAGTCCTAATGAGGTAAAGTGTGACGTTTTTGTGAGGTGTCTGCATTGGAATATGGTCCAATGATTACAAAACGTTATTTCTTCTTAATAACGCTTTATTGGTAGTTATTACGTGGAAAACTTTTTTCCTTTTTAAACATCATTACTCATTCTGAGGCATTTACTCATATGGAAAAGAGTAAAGTGTTTTCTGAAGGTCTGCAGAGTTGAAACAGAGTGCAGGGCAGAGTGGGAACAGACTGCTGCTTTATGGTTGGAGAAGCGGAAGGAAGAAATGGAAAGCGGAATGTATAAATAGCTTTTATGCGAACAAATGCAAACATGTCAGATGAAATTAGGACGGGTCTTTTAACGCTGACAAAAGAAGTACATAAATATTTACTTCTAAAGTACTTTTCAAAACACACATTACAGAGAGTCCAAAACCAATTTAAAATCTGTCATAAAATAAGATTGAAAATCAGAATCAAACACAGTTAAGTCAAAGAGAAAACACTTTAGGAAATTAAAGTCTTTAATAATTTAAGGGAAAGATTGTTTAACACAAAAAAGTGAGAATTAGTTATAATTAGAAGACTGAAATATGAACAGCAACCTACAGAGTTACATAAAAACAGTAGATCTTTAGGCAGAGTTTGTTTCTTTTTTGTAAAATTTCTAATTTCATGGCTTATGAAAGCTATTTCATGGCTATTTCATGGACCCACAGCATAAAACACTTACAGTGAAAAACGAGCTACATTGTTTTGTTTTCCAAGAGTCTATGTATGGCCTAAAAATAACTATAATAAAAATAATAAAAGAAAAATAAACGGGCCATCACGTCTTTAGCAATGCACGGGGCATCTAACTGCCACAGTATTGGCAGCCGTGCTTCTGTTAACAACTAGCTTCTTCCAAAAAAGTTAGAAAACAAATCACTGGACTTTGTTTTCCAAGTTTGAAGAATTTTCGCCTCCCATCCAGGAAGTTTTCTCAATTCAAAAGTCTGGAGTAGCGTTAAGTTGATAGCGGGAAGGAATCAACTCTAACACAGAAAGCTGCGATAGAGTTGATTCCTTCTTGCTATCATCTCAATCCTCATCCCCATGTAGCGGATCAAAACATCTTGCCTGTTTAGCCAGGTCGATAACAACCCAATCCACTGCCCATTACTAAGCGGTGGACCTGTTTTTCGGTTCAATTCACACGTTTTCTAAGCCAAAAGAAGGCTGTTGTAGGGCTATTCTATAAGCCTGGAACTTTTTTGGAATGACTTTGACCTGGATGACTGAGAATCTTCACAGACAGCTAGCTTGTTAGCCTTTTCTGACCGTTTTAAAATATGCCTTTCAATACCCAGCCCCATTTCTTCTAACACAACCGCACACACACCCGCCCTTGGCGGGAACCTTGTGTATACCCTGTCGTTTCTGCTATCTTGGCTGCAGCTCGTTCATCTACAGCAGTAGCCATTCAATATTTCCCCACTTTCCTTGATGGGTCCTTGGCTGGTCCCCTAAGTTTCCTTTTTTAAACATCAATCTGGATTTGTGGACACTAAGATCTAAAGAGCAGCATAATCTCCTGGTAAGACCCTGTAATTCAGTGAAAGGATGGAGTCTGAGTATAAATATGTGCAAGAGGGGGACACTCCAGTGGCTGGAAGGGAGCTGCCATTCAGCTGGCGTTTGACTGGGCTCCCGCTCCCTTCCTCCATCCTCCTTCTAAATTTGTGTTTAGGTATTAATGCGTTCTGATAAGCACCAAAAGACACGTCATCATAGCAGTCAGAGTTATCGGTGGTGTTGCCATGAAAATCACATTTACAAGTTTATTTTCCCCTCCTGAAAAAACAAATCCCCACCAGCAGTTGCCGGACGCCAGAAATCCACCACTACGCCGAAGTTCTTTAAGCGCTGCCGTTCCAAACAGATGATTTTATTCTTTTTTTGAGAACAAGCTTCTCATTCAACTGTTGCTATGATGTCGTTAGCTGTTGTGTGCGATGCTGCCGCTAGCCAAACTGCAACCTGAGAGGAATACTACAGCTACAGAAACTCCGGGGAGCCAAAAATGCACCATTATTAAAAAAATAGATTTCATTTTTTTCTTAATTTAAAATAAAAGAAATCTAATTTATTCATTTAATCTTTATTTTTTTTTGCCCAGGCCTATCTGGCATATGTAAATCTATGTGCAAGTCTGCAGGGGTTGATAATGTTTGATAAATATAGTTCCTAATATTCATTTTTGTATATATATCAATGAAACATGTTTGTTTTTTAAATGATTTTT